ACGAACGAGTGCTTTCCAATCGGCCCGATTCACTGGCGCTGCGAAGAGATGTTGCGTCTCTTTGCATTTTCTTTCACATATACCATGCGGAGTGCTCTGAGGAATTGTTCGGATTAATCCTAGGCGCCAAATTTCGTGAACGCGCTACGCGGCAAACGTCCCGATACCATCCACACCATCTAGGTGCTTGGCGGTCCACCACTGTACGTTTCACAAGGAGTTTTCTTCCGCGTACGACCTCTCTGTGGAATAGTTTACCACCGGCGATTTTTTTCGGACCGATACGACCTGGGGACCTTCAAGAAAAGAGCTTACTCCTTTCTAAAGGGCCGGCAACGCACCTGCAATTCCCCTGGTGTTGCGGTTGATCATAGGACGGTAGTCATTACATCAGTACTTGCTCTTCTATAAAATAAAATAAAAAAGAGAACCGGATATTTTTTTACTGGACTCGAAGCATTCCATCTTACTACTCTCTTGATTTTTAAATTGAGTATAAATAAGCAACAGCATCCACTTACCATGAGGTGGATTGTGTGCTTGTTTGTTACCAATGCTATAAAAAAAGGTGGATTGTTCGTTAGTCAACTCAATTTTATTAATCGAAAGTAATACAATTAAGGATACCTACGTGGCACGTATGACATTTTCTTTTTGCCGGATGATTTTATTAATTCTTACAATGTACGATTACGACCATTACTTTAGGTATGTCCAAAGAAATCGGAGACGGTTGACCGGCTTACTTATTGGAGAGCGGTGGTGTGAGACATTATATTATGTGCATAAAATGTACTTAACCCACTAAATGCACATAACATGCTCATCTTTGGAATAAGAAGTCTGCGCCCAGCACTGGCATATAATAATTTTTTTATTCAACATAGATAACCGTGACTGTTACAACCTGTGGCCGCCCTGTGGCCGGAGTAGGAAAAGGGGAGATCTCCCGCAGGGCAAGGTGTTCTGCCCGGGGAGCGGCCAACACTCCGTGTGATAGTTCGGAGATGTTCTATATATACTGTTTATGATTCGGAATTTTGATAGCGTGATTTAGACTTCGGTGTGTTTCGCTTGCGGCGCGACGACAGCGCCGCCACAAACCTATTAAAGTCCACTGCTGAACATCTTCAGGCTTCCCCCTTAAATTGCCTCATATGGAGGGGGGGGGGCGGAATTTTGCTGTTGTTGCCATAGTTGGCAAGAGGATTGGCAACCGCAGTTTTATATTTTTAGACGTTATTAGAAAGACGCTGCTGCCCATCTCCTGATTTGTCTCCCTCTGTCGTCTCTTACGACACCCACGGGATGATATGGGGTAGTGGATATTGTCTCATCGCCACTACACGGTTTAAATACAGATTATTCAATATAGTTTGACTGCCTCGTTGGTCAAGTGGTTGTAGTAGTGTGACTGCTGATCATGAGGTCCTGGGTTCGAATTCCGGGTCGGGTCAAAAATTAATTATTGAGTTTTTTCGTCAAGAAGTTCTCAGTACCTGCCCGGAGTCAGGAAGTTGGCGGTGTCACCTCCGTGCCTCGAATAGCATGTAAAGCCGATAGTCGTGTCGGCGGTACTGTCCCTTTGGATTATGAGACTGAAGGAGTAGAGGGTGCACCTATGATTGCGCAAATTATTAACATTCTAAAAACTAAGCTGTTTTTATTACACGTTTTTAAGCTAATCTTCAACTCTATGTAATAATGTAGGTATGTTTGTATGAATATGACGGAATTTCGTAATCCAGTTTTCACCCACTTCCCATCGTCTGAATAATCATTTATACAAAAGAAAATTGCTCTGACAATATTAAAAACTTGCATGAGTAAATTGTACAAATTATCAAATTTTTACATTCGGTTGGTTTTCCATTCCTCCCAATAATTTATTAACAGCAAACTACTGCTGAAAAGATTATAAAAAAGTAAATCAGTTTCTAATTAAAATACTAAGTGCATCGAATGAAACCCGTTCGACATCGATGTCATTATTTTTGTTCTCCAGATATGCGAGGCGAAAATTAGTGGCATCCGACACAAGAAAACTTTAAACACAGACATTTGTTAAAATTAGGCCTTAGGAAATACAGACCTATAGTACTAACTTCTTACTGGGAAGCTGGGAAATTGAAATGAATTAATTTGGCAAACATCTTTTATTTTTGTCGTAAAATTACTTCTTGAATCGCAATTCTCAGTGTTATTCTGTTTGTGTCTGTCTGACATAAACTAACGTAACTACGTATGTATGAAATTACTCTAAGAACATAACATTCGATTATAAGTTATAATTTATAACTGTTAAATCACTAGACCAAATCCAGTGTCTTATTTCCAGAGCAATTTCCTTGAGATGATATCATAATTTAGTACCATGTTCAATACTTAATTAATAATTCAGTATAATTTATGAGTAATTTTAACAGAACACATTTTTATTTTTATAGAATATGAGTGACAAATGACTACATAGTCTACCTGTTGGTAAGTGGATGCTGTGACTTATAGAGATCCACATCTATCCAAGATTAACGATCAAAATGTCAGATGTATTTTCACCCCTAAGGACCCAGTCGGAATGTCTCGTTTTCAGTAAAAAAAGTCTTCGGAGCTCTACATTCAGCATACAAAACACAGCAGCATTAAGCTGCTATTTTACGCTGGTATTCGGTGAGAGTGTGGTTCTACCAAGTAAAATATTATTGGCCTTACTAATCAAAATCGACGGTAATTCAATAAATGCTTAAAACTGCTTTCGCTCTTTGCACTATATTGACAAAAGAAAGATACAGGTATACATATACATAATACTTGAGTAAGCGATAATCACCCTTATAATTATAGCCGTATATGTATAAAATTATAAAATGTAAATTAATCGTATCGTATGTCGTATATTATTACATTTTAACTTCAAAGTTTGTGATCACGTCATTTCATAAATTTAAATTTTTAATATCTGTCATGTTGTAGTATGTTCAGAATAACACTTTCTCTTCTGTAGAAAATCAAAACCGGATTTCATTATGCTATTTGAAGCAACTAATGAGAGATAGTAAATTGCAGCCTCTGTTATTCTTCTTTAGTAGGTGCTTTAATTTAAAAATAATATGCTAGCTGTTACTCATATTAAGTGTACCGGGTGTCAATAAATGATTAAAATTCTTGCTTCCTTTTTTATTTATTAGCTTTCAGTACAAGAGTACACCGCAATACTACGTGTTCATTGTTCACTGTGAACTTACATATTATAATACTCGCAGGTCGGGGAAAACGATTCGTCGTATTTTATGTACAAAGTTTTTTTTATTTCAATGTTTAATTAAATTTAATCATAATATATATGTGCCATTTTTTTCCGTTAACTTGTTGCCATCTTGTAGGTAGTGACATAATCCCTTTGTTGTAGAAATCTTGGGATATTTGATCAAAAAAATACGGCAAGTGGTTTTGACAGTCTTTTCTTGATGTTAATCTAACACTATCCAAAGAATTCCGAAGAGACTGAAACAGGTGAGAATCTGAGGGTGCAAGTCGGGATCCGTCAAAATGAGTGCATTGTATGTGGTGGATGCATTAACACTTCCCAACCAACCGGCCTTTTTTCTCAACTTCTTGCTTAAGTATCATTAGTTGTTGGCAGTAGAGATCTGAATCGATGGCTTTGCGCGGCGGTAAAAGCTTTATTATGAATGAACGATTCCCTTCCAATCCCACCATACACACAGCAACACTTCATTGCGTTTTAGTTTTGCTGTAGTCTGTGGAGCTTGACTACCCTTTAAACATGATCTTTTTCGCATGTTATTGTCGTAGGTGATCCATTTTTCGTCACCAGTGAGCAAACTTTTCAAAAATAGTTCGGTTTCATTACGTTTAAACAGAGAATCGCAAATGAGTATACGATTCATTAGGTTTGGCAAAATTGGCATCGACTTAATCCATATGAGGGATCGCGACCAGAGCGAACTGCATCTTTGACACCGAAATTCCGGGACTGGAAACGCTTGAACCCACTTTGTGCTACTCTTACTAACACTACATTTGGTCCAATAACGTTACAAATTTTTTTAAATTACGTTTTTCCCTCTGTCGTAACTAAACTTCAGAATGTATCGAATTCATTCGTTAGATTCACTAATTTTGGCGGACAGAAAAACAATAGCGGGAGGCTAGGAGAAAAGGGTGGGAGTGTTTTTTACTTTTTATTTGTATTGTTCTTAATGTCCTATATGTATTGATATTAAAATCAGCCGGATACAAACAGTACAACCAAAGGTATTTTTCTTCTATTTTATACAAAAAAAAAATAGAAACTTTTTTCCCGACCTATTATAAAAATTTTAGGGGACGGCACTTCGGGGATTAAAATGATCGATGAGATTAGAGAAGTCTTTTTCAATAATGCTATTAAAAATACCCAAAAATCTTAAATCTTAATTCTTATTGAATATTTTGATTAAAATATTACCAACACCTATCTGTTGTTGAAAGTTCTGTAAATAGAGAAAGTTTGCAAATTTACAAATAATTGCCAAGGATAGTGACAATTATAAAATACGTTATGTGCAAAATATAAATTCAACTTTTTTATGATTCCTATATCAGAAATGGGATTAGTGTAATGTAATGGCAGTGTAAGGGAATGCTAATTTGTCTAATTTTATCGTGTTGCAGAAACTTTTTCTGTCATGATGTAGAATATTACGTAAGATCGTAAACGAAATTAGTGATTTAATATTACGTACCTAACTCTTATAGCTATAGTTCAAAAGCAGTACATCCACTTAATTTTATTTTAGCCTATAGGGGTGATCGAACACTTTCTTTTTTTGTTTGAAGTTAGTTGCAGTTATTTTTGGGCCCGTTCAATATCTGGTAAATTGTTAAATCTTAATCATAATCTTGTTATAAAATGTTTGGTAATTTAATTCATAGAAAAATGACAAGATCAGTAAATTTAATATGATGTAAAATAAAAAAATAAGCATAATGATATATCAGAAAAGATTTTCCTTTTGCTTAGTAAATTTTTTAACTTTCTCCTGATACATTCTATGCTTTTCCTCGAGTGTTTTCAGAGTATTCGAAGGATTCATTCCACCAAAGTTAACCATGAAACTTATCTGAAGCGGTGACGTACGATCAGTTGATTGATCATCCGTGTTTACTCCTTTACAACTTTTAGCATTAGATTTATTTCTTAGCACAGATTCAACTTTTGACCTTTCTTTCTGATTTAATACTGTCGACTTGGGCCGTGACTCTTTGCTTTCAGCAATATCTTGTAAGTTATTAGTGATACATTCTTCTTTGTTAGATTTGAATTTCGATTTATTAATTTTCATATTTTTTTCCCCGTGTACACCTGCTGATTTTGAACAATAATTTTGTCTTAGCAATTTAGATGAGCATTTATCTTTCGGGGATTTTTTAATAAGGTATGAAGAACCATTCGCTTCTGTGTGTACTTTTGGAGTTTCCTTTACACCATTTTGTTTTGATGAAACTTTTTTTTCATGTTTTTCTTTTTCTACTGTCTTCTTGTAAATTTTTAATCGATTTTCCATCCTCACCTTTTCGGAATATCTCTGAAGACTTCGGGCTCTTTCTAGCCTTGGCTTAATTTTTTCCAAATCTGGACCTAATCCTCCTAGCTTAATGTTATGAATAGGTTCAACAGAAGTTCTCCTCATGGAGCGCTTGGGTAGTGAGTTTTCGGAAACGCTTCTTAGGTTATCTTTTTCTGTTGTGAATTTATTTTGAAAATCTAGTTTAAAGCGTTCGTCATTCAATGAATGATCAAAATATTGATGTAGTTCTTGTTGCATTATTTGTTCATAATACATCTCATTATATGACTCTGTATCAAGGAATTCTTTGGATGGATTACTTACGTCCCCGTCAATACTTTCCCTTTCCGTATCACCAAATTCTGGTGATAGCGAGCGTATTTCTTGTTCGATAGCTACATTATGTCCTTCTTTAGAAATATTCTTTTTGCGAAATAATTCCAAATATGAGTTGCGTCTAGAGTTATGCTTTTCCTTATTAACTAGATAGCTTTTTATCGGTTGAGCTTTCTGCACGTTTCGTTTTGAAGTACGTCGATCCTCTGGAATTTGATCCCTTTTTTGTGCCTTTGGAATTTTTATCAGTATATCTCGTTCGTAAAAAGGTACGAGTATAGTTTCAATATTTTCTTCTTCATCTTTAATAGAAGTTTTCTGATTAAAATTTTCTTCTAAACTGTCAATGGATATATTACTTTCGATATCAGATTTTTTATCCATTTTCCGTAATGTACTGCGATTTATTCTTTTGCGCATAAAAAGGTACGATGACATTTCAAATTTAAACTGACATTACGATTTACTTTTTATTGCGTTAGTTACGCCCTAGATCACGCCGATACGACAACAGTGAATATATTACATTATGTATTGATTATCTATGATATCACAGAATGCTTAGTTCAGGAGAAATCGATGCCCCCCCCGAACGGGTTCCCGCCTTGTCGTGGCGGGGGGTTTAGTAGCCGTGGCTTGGTCTCCCACGGTGAACAAAGAGGAACCCACGTGGCTGGCCCGAGGTGAGGGGCCGGCCTGAGGTGGCCGCTCCGAGTGGGCTTGGGGAGCCCACTTCGGATGTGTGCTGGTGGACTGCAGCGAGTGGGGACTCGCGCACCCTCTACCGCTGCAGCCGAGGTGGTGTCGCGGAGGAAGAGGAGTGTTGGTATGGCGATGCGCCACTCGCCCTATCCTTCGCGACTCAAACGGGGCCGCACCGTTGATGCGGTGGTGGTGGGGCTGCGGGGGGAGAGGATTGTCGGTATTGCGAGGCGCCGCTCTCCCTACCCTCCGCAGCCGAATCTTGGTTGGCGGCGGAGCCATAGACCAGATCCGCCGCTGGGGTCGGGAAGGCTAGTACTTCTAAGTGCTCGTTTTTCCTGGCCCCATGGCCTTTGTTCATCGGACGCGGGGGGCGTCTGTTGCACAGACGTAGTTGGAGGCCGTGGAGGAAGGCGCGCCATGTGTTCTGGTGCGCCTTACCTGGGAAGGAGAACGGGGAGGAATTTTCCTCTCCCGAGGAGGTGCTGCCATGGGGCGGCAGGCGCTAGTAGGGCCGCGGATGTGTGCGAAAGCGTTCCCGTAGCCCTGCCAATATGCGACAAAGGTGGAACACCATGGAGTTTTAGTCGGTGCGAGTCCGACATAACCCGTCCTTGCCCCCCGCGAGGCGGGTATGCGTAGGCATTTCCCCATGCAAAAAAAAAAAAAGGAGAAATCGATGCATGAGTTGTGAAAACTATTTCACCTCAATTTTTTTATGCGATTCTCTTCAAATTGTCCTACTGATGTAATAAATTGTAAAAGATTACTCTGAAAAATGTATATATATGTTCGTATTATTTTATATATGTATAAATAATATGTCACTGACATTGTATTACATATATAGTGACATGGTTCAGCGCTTCATACTCATTTAATTCTGCAACGTAAAACAAAGTACGATTACAAAACCCCTACTGGCCCTGAGCCAAAGTATTTCATAGTAAGAAATTTTCACAGATGAAGAATTTATTGTGTTGATAAAAAAGCTCCCAAATAAAATATTATTTCGCTGTGTTCCCCTCGTCATCGAAATTCGAGTTGGATGTAAAGAGAGAGCCTAATAGATCAGCTTTCTTCTTTGCAGCATGGGCCAGTGAGTCGTTCTCTCTGTGCAGAGGTGGAAAAGATGACTGACAGAAGTTTCCTTGCACAGCCTTGCCGAGAGACCAGAATGCACCAGTTTCCGAAGGAAGGCGAACAAGCTTTTTGTCAATTCCACCGATGTGCTCAGACCTTGCCTTGGCAATGACTATTTTGAAAGACCTGGAGGCGGAATTATACTTCTTTTTAAGAACGCTGATGTTTACATCCCGAGATGTTGATGCGTCAAGCCAGGTCCGGTAGCACTCCTGCTTATAGCGTGATGCTATTCTACAGGAGCGATCAAACCATGGCTGGGAATTGCCTCTGGGAACTACAGAGGATGGAATAAAAAGTTCCATACCCTGAAGGACCATAGCAGCGAAAGGATCAACAACAACGCTGGGACCGTCCATCATCGCGTTGCGAAAATTCTTAGTCGCGGGTGGAAATTCGCCCCCCCCCCCCCTCCTCAGAGTACGCGAGGCAGCCTGAGCACCCACGCTCAGGAAGAGTTGAATAACTTGGTCGTGGATGCTCAGCGAGGGATTCTCTGTCACCAGGGGTGCTGGTACCCTCCTGGGATGTTTTTCTGTCTCACTTGTCTCACACACACTATATAAGTCACAAAAGCAATACAGTCGCTAAGATTAAATAAAGATAGACACAAAAACCTGCAGTGGCGGGTTGGTGTTGCCTACTGTTTGAAATTTTACCCAAAATAAGCAATCAACAGGAATTATTTTTTAAGCTGCAGTTAATTATTTTTATTTTTACTATGTATATTTTCCATTTAGACGAATAGAATGAGGCATAACTGATGAAATAAAAGATATTTTTAAAAGTATTCTTTATTGTACTAATAAATCAAACAAAAACATAAAATTTTAATATTCTTTCAATTAATATTACAATAGGTATACATTTTTAAGGCGATAAATACTTTTTTAATAACAACGTGAACTTCACATGTCTTAGAAATATGTAATTTTTATCGTGATGATATTTTCCTTCACCGCCAAGCACGTGGTAAATTAGCACTCTTAAGTTTAAAGTTTTTAATTGTTCGTGTACTGTGAAATTTACAGAGAGCTACTACTTCTGAGCTACCACACCTTATATTTATATTTTTGAAAAATATAACTTTATCAAAAATCATGTCTATTTTCTTTCATGATTATTACCGATCACATTTAATGATTCATTAAGAGTTAATTATCTAAATTCCTTATTCTAAACGATTTGATTGGTATAACTTTTATATGCAGATGCCATACAAAATTATAGATATATCATTGATTTATTTCTTAAGCGCCAATATCGCGCGAACCAACCATACTCATGTACCGCAAGGGTGTCATATGTATCGTACGAGAATTGGACAAGATGGCCGATCCCCAGACGAGGGTATTTTGTCTTGATAAGTCTTGATTTCAAGTAGAAGCAATTATGAGGTTATTTACATTTTTGAAAATGAGAAAATACTGAAGCATCATTCGGATAATTTTAATGCGACTACAATTTGCATGGTTATAAATGACGTCATAACAAAGACGTGTATTTTTGAAAATCGCAGTTGGAGCCGGGCCAAAATTCTACTGTGATAAGGGATTTGGGGCGAGCCATTCAGTTAACGGGGTTTTGCTTACTCTACACCATCAGTATATCAATGTACTAGGATACTATAGATGGAATAGAGATCAGAAATCATAACGTAGAAATATCAAAATATCTTATATCGTCTTCTCTTCTGTCTTCTGTCAGCAAGATAACAAATAGAATAAGAATAATAGAATAATTTTATACCTGGTAGAGCCATGCTGCAGTTATATTAGTAGTACGGGTATATTTGTAGCACAAATGGGAAAATCAATATGCAGATGCGTTGTCACCCCTGTGGATTATGATGGAATGCCTCGTTTCTAGTAAAAACGTCACTGGTTCTCTTACACAGACCATATGAAATACAGCTGCATTAAGTTGCTATTTTACGCTAATATTCTGTGAGAATGTGGCCCTACCCCATACGAGCCGACCCATTAGTGCTCCAGCCATAATAGAGCTAGAGTACCACGAATAAACCACGGGTTCGAGGCTCTGGACATTTCATAATGTGGCGTAAATTAAATTGATTTTTTCTCATTGACTCTAGACGGATCTGTCGGAAGCAAATAAATTTATCTGCCTTTTCTCATAGTCGACTCTTACGATAGCCACGAGAGGAAACGAGATGATAGATTCTATTACGCGGCATCCCCAACCCACGGTCAAACTTAAACCCGTTTTTTTATTAGAAGACTGTAAAATATTTTTTTATTTATCGAGTTTATTATCATATTGACATTTGATTAGCAGATCATCAAAAATTAATTCTATTAAATTATCATATCGATAGCCATATGGATCCGAGATGTAGTCCGTCACTGCTCAGCGAGCTATGTAGAGGGCTATGCTCGGGCTTTCTCTGCGATATACATAGAAATGAGGATATCCGCAGTAGAATTAGAATAACTGATATAGCTCATTAGATTAGTAAGCTGAAATGATCCAGCCATACCTATAGCTGGAAGAACAACAACCGATGGGAAAGAAAGGTTCTTGAGTAGTTTTTGAGTGCCTCGTACCGGTAGGCAAAATGTATAACGTCCCCCCACTAGATGGAGTGACGACCTGGTAAGACATGCAGGAAGTCGATGGATGCAGGTGGCTCAGGACCGTACTTTGTAGCATTCATTAGGGGAGGTCTATGTTCGGCAGTGGACATATGAAGGTCTGTAATGATGATAGTGATGATCATATAGCTTCATAACTGGTAAAGTAACGTATGGTTAGGTGTTAAGGGTACGAATATGATTATTATTTAATCATCACATCATCACACATCACATTATTATTATCTATTGAAGTTGTTCGTCTCTGAAGCTCCCTACCGCTTCAAGCAATCTCTTGACAGATTTAAAAGACTTGTTTAAGCGCGCTTCTTTCCTCAATAAAATAATATAGTCATTCCTAAAAATCACTATCTATTTTTTTGTTTTTGTAAAAAAAAGACGGTACCACCACACTCCTGTACCGTGAAAGCAGTTTATATATATGGCCATATACCCTAACAACTATTTGTATACCACATCTAACTGAGCGAGTTCGAATTCTGCAATGTGGCAGGTACTGTGTAGAAAACCGGAACCCTTTTTTCTGGATACGAGGCAATCCATCTTGGTCTTCAGGGGCGACAAAGCACTGCATTTTGATTCGTAATTGAGGTTAGGTATAGATGTTAGGTGCGACAGTATTCACTTAACATCAGGTAGACAGTGTGCATGTTTGTCACCCTTGTTCTATAAAAATTGATCTGAGTGAAAGTAAACAGATCTTTTATGCATCCATATATACATATACATAGCCTGCTAAAACCATAAGCCTCCTGTTGGCTTTGCCGTATTCGGGTAATAATCAAAGCTCGAAAGGCCAGAAGTGATCTGAAAAACGAGAAGGTTCTATATGCCACGCTTATGTTTTTATCTATGTTCACCGATTTCTCGGAAACCCATAAACTGATTTAAATGATTCTTATTTTACAAAATAGGCTACCTCAGAAGTAGTCCCATATACATTTCTTAAAATTAAATTCCAATCCTGATGGTAGAAAA